CTCATTTCTCTTAACTATATAATGTCTTAATACTATCAGTCTTCCCTCTCCTCCCCTCCCCTCCTTCTCTTCTCTTCTCTTTCCTTTCTTTTCTTTTTGGAGATAAGGCTTTGCACCCAAGCTGGAGTGCAGTTGTGTGATGTCAGCCCACTGTAACCTCCAACTCCTGGCCTTAAATGATTCACCTGCCTCGGCCTTCCAAACTTAAATGGCCATCCTTTTAATTTTGGCCATTCTAGTGGATGAGTAGTGGTATCTTATTGTGACTTTCATTTTTGTTTCTTCACTTTGTAATGTTGTTGACCACATTTTGTGCTGTGGTTATCTGAATATTCTATTGTGAGTGAAGTGCCCGTTCAAGTCTTTGCCAATTGTGCTATTGGGTGGTTTGTCTTTTATTATTGAGTTAATAGAAATTCTTCAAAAAATTTTGAATGTGTCTTTTGTCAGATAGATGTATTGTAAATAACCTTCTCATGGTCTTTGGTTATCCTTTTCCCAGTTTCTAATGGAGTCTTTTGTGTTATGGTGACACGGGGGATCATTTAAGATATCTTTTTTTTTAAATACATAATTTATGTACATAACATTTAATATTTTTAAGATTACTACAATTCAGTGATTATTTAGTATATTCACAGTTTTGTGAAGTTATTACCACTGTCTGGTTACAGAAAGCATATATGTTTTAGAAAGAGAAAAAAAGGGGCTGGGTGTAGTGGCTCGCACTTGTAATCCCAGCAATTTCGGAGGCCGAAGGAGGCGGATCACAAGGTCAGGAGTTCAAGACCAGCCTGGCCAACATGGTGAAACCCTGTCTCTCCTAAAAATACAAAAATTAGCTGGGCGTGGTGGTTCATGCCTGCAATCCCAGATACTCAGGAGGCTGAGGCAGGAGAATCGCTTGAACCTGGGAGGCAGAGGTTGCAGTGAGCCAAGATTGCACCACTGCACTCCAGCCTTGATGACAAAGTGAGACTCTGCCTCAACAAAAAGAAAGAAAGAAAAAAGGGAGCATTTAAAGAAGTGAACTATTTAGGGAAGAGCATATAGTTTCATATATGTAAGCGATTATGGTAGCAGTGGAAAATATTTAAAAACAAATATTTCTCATTAGTGAGCTTTGACTATCTAGAAGTTAAATGTTAAAACAATTGTTGAAAAAAGTTTCTCATGTTTTGTGGTAAGCAAGATGAAGTAAGGGTCAGACGTAATCATAGCAAAGGCTTGATTGATGCATAGTAGAGCCTTGCACGTTGCATATGTATATTATTACATATTTAACTAAACAAATTCTTACAATAATTATTTGAGTTAATTACTGTTGTTGTCCTCATTTTATAGATAAGGCTAGACTGCACAATCTCAACTCAGTGCAACCTCTGCCTTCTGAGCTCAGGTGATCCTCTCACCTCAGCCTCCCAAGTAGCTGGGACCACAGGTGCACGCCCACCACACCCGGCTACTGTGTGTGTGTGTGTGTGTGTGTGTGTGTGTGTGTGTGTGTGTGTGATTTTTTTTTTTTGTAGAGACAGGGTTTGTCATGTTGGCTAGGCTGGTCTTGAACTCCTGGGCTTAAGTGATCCACCCATCTAGGCCTCCCAGAGTGCTGGAATTACAGATGTGAGCCATTGTGCCCATATTTAATATGGTCATATTAAATGTGGTCATGGTCAATGGCAGTTTCCAAATTTCAGAGGCAGAAAGAACCTGGGGTCATTAATTACGTTACTCTAGTGTATTTGTCAAAACCAAGAAATCCACGAAATTTCTATTTAGAGTTTTTCTTCCTTTAGATCACCTCTTCATTCTCTGTGAAACTGGTGCTTTCTGATTTGTGTTCTGATAGCCCCTTCTTGATCTTCACAGGACTTCTGGGACTATGACTAAGACGATCTTAGTACTAGCAAAGACAGTCTTAGTATTGCTTCATCCAAATAAATTTGTTTAGAAAAAGGAAAAACCAACTCAGTAATTCCATGTTTCAAATTTTAGAAAGGCTACTTGGCCACAAACGTATTTTTTATTTTTGTTTGAGACGGACTCTTGCTCTGTCTCCCAGAGCAATGGCACGATCTTGGCTCACTGCAACCTCTACCTCGCAGGTTCAAGCCTCCCAAGTAGCTGAGATTATAGGCACCTGGCATCATACCTGGCTAATTTTTGTATTTTTAGTAGAGAGGGGGTTTCACCAAGTTGGCCAGGCTGGTCTCGAACTCCTGACCTCAGGTGATCCACCCACTTTGGCCTCCCAAAGTGCTGGGATTACATGTGTGAGCCACCACACATGGCCAGCATACATTAATACATAGGGTGTTTCCATGCATTTGGGAGACCACATTTAAAACAGTCAATGCTTGTGTTAGTCTGTTTTCACACTGCTATAAATATACTTTCCTGACACTTAGTAATTCATAAACAAAATAGGTTTGATTGACTCACAGTTATGCATGGCTGAGGAGACCTCAGGAAAATTACAGCCATGGTAGGTGAAGGGGAAGCAGGTACCTTCTTCACAAGATGGTGGCAGAGAGAGAGTGCAGGGGAACCTGCTGTTTTTTAAAACCGTCAGGTCTTGTGAGAACTACCTCACTATCACAATAATAGCATTGTGAAAACCGCCCCCACGATTCAGTCACGTCCCACCAGGTTTCTCTCTAAACACAAGGGGATTATAATTCAAGATGAGATTTGGGTGGGTCATAGAGCCAAACCATATTAGTGTTCAACAGCCAGTTTTTCCCTAATCATTGAAATCAGTTTCTTTTTCATCAGAACACCGTGTGGAGTGGCTTGAGTTCAGTGATAATTTATATTTATGAGTGAAAATATAAAATATTTGAACACTAAAATCATACTCAGCAAAGTGAAATGGTCATGTAGAGTGGTACTAGACGATTTGAAGCAACAGCAGATTTGTCTCTGCCTCATATTCTGTAGGATGTTGAGTAGTTGATGCCTAAAATTATTTTTTCCTTTAGGAGAGAAGAGTTTGTATTTAAGTGAAATATGTGTGATTCTATTATATTTTTCTTTAATATAAGTACTCTTTAATTCTAAATTTTACTTTTTTTTTTTTATGATTTTTGATTGATAAATGACCAAAATCAAAGATAAAACAATTTTCTGTTAGAATTCTCTTACTGATTTCATTTCCAGAGACTGAATCATTGATGAATAAAATAAACTTTTTTGTGGGGGTGGTTAGAGATAGGGTCTACCAGTGTTCCCCAGGCTAGACTCAAATTCCTGGGCTCAAGTGATCTTCCCGCCTTGGCCTCCCAGAATGTTGGGATTATGTGTGCACTTGGACTAAAATAAACTCCGTATGATTATTCTCTGAGTTGTAGATGCTACTAGGGCCTATTGTTTGCTGTCTGGAAGGATCCTGGGACAAAATGACTCTTAAGACCTTATAGGGACCATATACAGATAATCCTGAGTGGAGTTATCACAAAATCCCTCTAAATGTATACTGGAGGGCTTAACTCTGAACTGTTGTTATCTCTGCCTTAATTGCACTCAGATAGCTGTTCTTAAAACAGATTCGTTGAATAAACCAGTACTAAACTATGAACCCAGTTGCAAAGATTTTCTTATATTAATGTATAATTATACAGTAGGAGTTAGAAACTACAGACATAATAACTTCCAAAATAGTAAAGTGAGGAAAGTGAGTTGTGTTTTTTTGTTTGTTTGTTTAAGATAGAGTCTTACTCTGTTGCCCAGGCTAGGGTGCAGTGGCAACATGGTGAAACCCCATCTTTACAAAAAAACACAACAACACATTAGTTGAGTGTGGTGGCCTGTGCCTATAGTACCAGCTACCTGGAAGGCTGAGGTGGGATGATCACTTGAGCCTGGGAGGTTGAGGCTGAAATCATGCCACTGCACTCCAGCCTGGGTGACAGACTGAGATCCTGCCTCAAAAAAAACCAAAAAACAAAAAATACATTAAAAAGTCAATATTGCACTTTTCTCCTGTCTGTTTTAATAGCGTTTAACATTAGGAAGGCTGCTAAAGGTTTCGAAGTAACATGCCGTAAGAAAAATACTTTAAAAATCCAGGATTCTAGTTGAGTGCAATAGTTCACGTCTGTAATCCCAGCATTTTGGGAGGCTGAGGTGGGCAGATCGCCTGAGGGTTGGGAGTTTGAGACCAGCCTGACCAAGTGGAGAAACCCCATCTCTACTAAAACTACAAAATTAGCCAGGCGTGGTGGCACAAGTCTGTAATCCCAGCTGATGAGGAGGCTGGGGCAGGAGAACTGCGTGAACCTGGGAGGCGGAAGTTGCTGTGAACCGAGATCGCTCCATTGCACTCCAGCCTGGGCAACAAAAACGAAACTCAAAATTTAAAAAAAAGTGTGTGTGTTGGGGGGAAAGTCCAGGATACCATCTGGGCAGGGTGGCTCACACCTGTAATCCCAGCACTTTAGGAGGCTGAGGTAGGCAGATCACATGAGGCCAGGAGTTTGAGACCACCTGGCCAACATGGCGAAATCTCATCTCTACTGAAAATACGAAAATTGGCTGGGCATGGCAGCGTGCAGCTGTAATCCCAGCTACTTGAGAGGCTGAGGCACAAGAATTGCTTGAACCCGGAAGGCAGAGATTGCACTACTGCACTCCAGCCTGCGTGGCAGAGGGACTCTGTCTCCAAAAAATAATAATAATTAGGAACCCTAGTCATTGTTAGGATATCTAATTCTTTGTCACAAAAACTGCTTAGTGCTCCTGCTATAAAAATGATTAATTCAAAATCAGATTTTTCTGAGAAGATGATCCCACTATTTTTGTATACATATAGTGGAAATAGCAATAAACTGGGAGGTCATGAAATTTCTTAACAAAGTTTAAGTTATAAAGTGAAAAGACTGCTTAGTCCCTCATGCTTCCTTTCTGGAATTAGTTCTGAAAATACTAAAATTCACTCATTTATATTCTTCTCATGCCCTACACAGCATGCCTGATATTATTTCTCTCTCATTTTCTTTTAGTGTGTTGTTGGTGGCTGCAATGCCAGCTTTGCTTCTCAGGGAGGGCTAGCTCGCCATGTACCCACACACTTCAGTCAGCAGAACTCCTCAAAAGTTTCTAGCCAGCCAAAGGCCAAAGAAGAATCTCCTTCTAAAGCTGGAATGAACAAAAGGAGGAAATTAAAGAACAAAAGACGACGCTCATTACGTAAGTGCTACACTGACAGAATATGCATATATTTGATGGTTTTAAAAGATATCTTAGGATTTTATGCAAATCCACTTTGAACTTCAACTCCTCTTCTTTCTATTAAAAGTAATAAATGGCTAGGATAACTGTCTGTCAGTGTGAGAATTCAGTGGCACATGTTCTAGTAGCTAAGGGAGTATACTTGGCCTTCAAATGTAAACTGTATAGAATTAGATTTTGGGGCTACTCCGATTCTCTTCGAAAATAAGAACATTATAATACAATAATATTGGTATTTCTAGAAAGATTTTAGAAAATTTGAACATGTTAAAAGTCAATATCAAATAGAAGTATCTATTAAGTAAAAATTAAATAACTTATCTACCCAGCTGGGCGCAGTACCCAGGCTGGGCGCAGTGGCTCACGCCTGTAATCCCAGCACTTTGGGAGGCTGAGGTGGGTGGATCACAGGGTCAGGAGATCGAGACCATCCTGGCCAAACGTGGTGAAACCCCATCTCTATTTAAAATAAAAATAACCTACCTACCCCAAAGTAATGTGTGGACCTGAAGAGGGAGGTAGAGGCTGCAGTGAGCTGTGATCGCGCCAGCATACTTGAACCTGGGAAACAGAATGAGACCCTGTCTGAAAAAACAAACAAAAAAACCACAAAACAGTGTATGTGGAAAGCAAAATACTTTTTTTTTTTTGAGATGGAATCTCCTTGTCACCCAGGCTAGAGCACAGTGGGATGAGATAGGGTTTCACTATGTTGGGCAGGCTGGTTTCGAACTCCTGACCTCAGATGATTGCCTGTCTCGGTCTCTCAAGGTGCTCAAAGTGCTGGGATTACAGGTGTGAGCCACTGCACCCGGCTGATGGCAAAACAATTTGAATATAATGTTTGTCACGGTACCTAGTCTATTGTAACACATACATGCAATGATTGTGTGCTTACTTACCAAAAATGTATCCTTGATGTTTAGGATAGAAAATAATTAGATGAGAAGGCTTGTAAATGTTGGGAGCAGGAACATACTTTGAAACCTCAGAGTGTAGCTGGTGACTGATTCTCTGTGTCAGCTGGTTAGTTTTAACTATATATTCTTAATGAAGAAATACCAATGAGCGAATGAGTGAATGAAGCTGTTATTGAAAGGGAGTCCACTCTAAGGGTGAATTGGAAAGAAAATATAGATTGTACTTTACCCTTTCTCTTGGGATTGATTGGTATAGACACGACTTCAGACACTAATTCCAGACTATGAAGTTAGTCTCTAAAACATTGCTATCTTTTTGTTAGTACAGAGTTATAGTGGACGAAAGAACAAACCAGAAGTGAAAAGTAAACTTTTTTTAATTTTAATTTTTTTTCTACCTCATTAACTGAGAAAAGTGAACTTTCTTAAACTCTGTTAGATTTCTTTCTTCCCGTTTTTTTGAGACAGGGTCTTACTCTTGCCCAGGCTGGAATGCAGTAGAGAGATTATGACTTACTTCAGCTTCAGACTCAATTCTCCCACCTCAGCTTCCCAAGTAGCTGGGAGTACAGGCCTGAGCCACCATGCCTGGCTAATATATATATAATTTTTTTTTTCTTTTTTTGAAGCCATTCGGGTCTCTCTGTGTTGTCCAGGCTGGTCTTGAACTCTTGGGCTCAGGTGATCCTCCTACTTCAGCCTCCCAAAGTGCTAGGATTACAGGCATGAGTCACCACCACACCTGACCTTAAGTTTCTTTTTGTTAAACATGTTTATTTTTAATCAACATTTTGACCTCCTTTATAAAGCAGAAATAACATTGTAGTCATTTTACTTGGGTTAATATTGAATAGCTTGCAGTTGCACACAGAAAATTGCTAAATATATGTTATGATACTCAAAAACCAGGTAACTTTTCCACCAGTTTCACCTAACCTCGTTGTTATTATTTTGGTCTCAGTGTGTACACAGTAGTCATTCAAATTTTCTGACTTTTCCCATTTTATACTTGGCAATATCTGTGCAATTTGCTACTCTTTGTTTTGTAAAGAGAAGAGAGATTCAGTTACATACCCGGTTCTTGCTTAGAAACAAATTATCAGCGCTGGCTTAAGAATGTTTCTTTTGACCATGCTGTTTTTCCTCTTACTAACTTAGCTAGTAAGGCAGGCTGTGTAGGGGCAGTTGGCAGAGAGAGGTGGTGGATGAAAATACCTTTTTGTTATATGTTTTATTGGGGAAAATGGGGTTAGTCCTAAATATATTACTTAATGAACTTTAAAAAGAATCCAAGGCCTTTTCAACTATTGTGGGGAGCATTGTTAAGACAGTGCTGTGATTTGAATTAGCATGGTTACAGCTGCTGCAGTTCACTCTTTCTTTAAAAATATACGTATTTATAGAAGTTTAACTTTGTCTAGTATCTTTCTCATGTAATTCAAGAAGATAGTTTTTACTTAACTGTGAAAAAAAACCTATAAATAGCAGAGCTGCAGCAAATGTAATTTTCTGTTTGATAAAACTTGTTGTTGTTGTTTTTTAAATCTTTTTTGTTTGTTTTTTCTGAGACAGGATCTTACTCTGTTTCCCAGGAGGACTGCAGTGGTGCAATTACAACTCACTGAAACCTTGACCTCCTGGGCTCAGGTGATCCTCCCACCTCAGCCTCCCAGGTAGCTGGGACTACAGGCACACACCACTATACCTGGCTAATTTTTTTTTTTTTTTTTTTTTTTTGGGTAGAAATGGGTTTTTGTCTTGTTGGTCTTAAACTCCTGAGCTCAAATGGTCCGCCTGTCTCAGCCTTCCAAAGTGCTGGGATTACAGGTGTGACTCACTGCACCTAGCCTGATAAAATTTATATTTAATTAAAAAAAAAAATATATATATACAAACATATATATATATAATATATATATATATACACACACA